GAAACCAGCACAGACCAATTATGGCTTCTTCTTTGGCAATGGGGCTGAAAGACAGAGACTTTTTGCAATTTCAGAATCATCAATACCTCAGATTCTGACAGCAGACAGGAGCCAGGGACCTGCTTCCCATCCTGGGCTGGTGCAGAGACTGCAGCCCCGACCCAGCTCCCCCAAACCTATCCCACATCTTCACATAATTCTCAAGGGGAATTTATATTCTGGGCAGAAGCTGCCTGGTACCACTGGTGATGGAGAGGAATAAGGGGAGAGACTTTTGACACAACAGGAAAGCAGCAGTTTAATAAATAATCCATCAGAGGGAGAGATTAGCCAGTTCCAAACACAACCTGAACTGAAATAAATACATTTTATCGTTAGCTTAAAAAAGAGACACAAACGCACGTGATGGTGAACGGTGAGAGAGCAGAGGTGGGGCCAAGTGCCCACACTTTAAAGATACCACAGCTGTCAACAGCCTTTGGAGTGCAGAAAAAGAATAAAAACAGGGAAGTAAAAAGTTACTACTTTGTAAAATTAATGGCAGAAGAGAAAGCAATGGTATAACTCAGGTTTTTAATGCAACAAGATCAGCTGAAACTCACTTGACCTGCCAGGACTGCTGACAGGCAATTGAGATGATTTTTGCCTTGTGTTTGGGCACTGCTGTTACCATCCCAGGCTTTAAGTCCCTGCAGACAAATCCTGGGAATCCCAAAGTTAAACAGCCGGGCTCAGGCACTGCACAGCAGATCAAGCAGATTTTAAGAAAAGATTCTTTTTTAAAAAGTTGCGTTTTCATATAAAGTAACAAGAATTGGCAAAACTAGCTGAATGCTCCACACAGCCTTTCCAGCCTCCACATGGGATGCTGTGGAAGCACCGGCCCTTCAGAACAAGTTGTTCTTCATTTGGCTCTGGTAACTTCAGCTCCAGCACCGCCTGGCCCAGCTCCTGCTCTGTCACCTCAAGGCAGAACAGCGCTGAGGGAAGGGGAGGCACCGGGCCGAGGCCCCACCAAACCAGGTGAGAGGAACCCCAATAGGGTGGGAAGGGATCCCTGCTTGCTCCCTGCACCTCAGAGAGCCCCTGCTGCCAGGTCTGCACACCAGCACAAGCCACCTTTCTGTTGGTAATGGCACCTGTAGAGGTCCTGCTGCTGCCTGGTGCTGTACCCCCCTCCGTCCACCTGCTGCCATATCCCCACCCCAGCTGCCCAGTGCTGTAACCCCACTGGTGCCCAGTGCCACCACAGCAGGTCACCAAGCAGGCCACAGCCCCTGACCTGGCAGTCACCCTGCTGGCAGCACCAAGCCCCAAGTTTGGGGGCTGACAAAGAGACCAAAACACTCCAGGCTCACGATGCACAAGTCAGCATCTCCAGAAGCTCAGGGGTCACATCATGACCTGGGAGGGAAGATTCTGGACAGTTCTGGGGTCTGAGGGGAAGGAGAGGCTGAGAGGACACAGGCAGCAGCAGTGGTGAGAGGGAACAGGACCAGAAACATACTGGTTTCAATAAACTATGCAATAAGGGAGAGGACTTTTAAAAATATATCTCTATATACTTTATATCATATAAATTATGCTCGTCTTTTTGTAACTTGTCGCTATATTGTACCCGTGAAGCTCCGAGGTAATGGTTCCATGTTTTATTTCATCTGTGTGTGAGGGAAAAACCTACTTCAGCTCACTTTAACCCATGTAAATCAACAGATTGCCAGGACTCGGGGAAAGTCCTGTCTAAAAAAGGCATTTTTGTGACCAACAGAGGTGGGGGAACTGCTGCCTGGAAGTGCAAGTGACAGGATTTCCTTCAGGATAAAAGCTTGCCATGCACACACAGTACTGACCATCCCACTAATGTTTGGGAATTGGGAGTGTCACCACAAGGAGCTTGGGAAAAACGGAGTCATGGCAGGTCAAGGAAGTTTCTGCTGGCTCTGCTCCCCAGACCTGCAGCCAGACCCATCTCAGCATCCCTCTGTGTCCCAGCTGCTCCTAGTTCTGAGCACAGGAGCTGCCACCAGGCCAGATCAACACAAAACAAACTGTCAGTTCACTTAAATACCCACCTCTGACAACCAAATGGCATTTGCAGTTGCTGCTGTGTGTCTGCAAAGATCCCCGATGTAAAGGGCCAGCACTGCCTCCCTTTGGCTGCTCTCCCCTGGGTAACCTTCCCCAAACCCACAGAGAGGGGACCCCAAACAGAGAGCAGCCAAGGCAAGACTGGTTCAGCTGCTGCACCCTCAGTTCCTTTAACAAAGGATTCCTGAGGTGTCCTTGGTTTGGTCCTTACTTCCCAGAACTGCTCAATGCCACCACTACTTATTTACTCGAATCAGAACAATTGTTTCCTGCCCTCTGCCACATTTCTATAAACAACCACACATTCCCTGTTTGCCTCAGCTCCTTTCACAACACTCCAAGCACCTCCTGCTCTTTCTGAGCACAGCTGAGCCTGCAGCAGAGGCTACAGTTCCACTGTTCCATAAACAAAAGCCTCCACAGCAGGCTCAGAAATGCCACATGGAATCCAAACCCCTAAGCCCAAATCAATGCAGCCTTCACCATCAGGATCTATTGGGTTGAGAATAAACCAGCTCTGGACACTCTTTGGGTTTAGCACCAGATGGCAGGAGCCCAGGGGCAAACCAGCATGTTTTGTACAATGCTCAAGGTAAACAATCATTTCTCTGACCCTTCTCCCAGGAAACCACGCATCTCCAAAGTGCTCAGCACAGCCAAGTTGTTCTCCTAAACAACCCTCACAGCTCCAGGAAAAGATTTCTGAAAAAATTCTTCTACCTACTGCCCACGGAGGCAACAGGCAAATGCCACCTCAGAGTGACAAGAAAATCAAACATAACCACAGCTCTTGTGGCCATCCAAGTGCTTGTAATTCATGTAGCTGCCCTTCTCACACCTGCCCATTCTCCCCTGTGTCAGCTGCAACTTCTTCATTTTTATCCTCTTCATCAGAACATTAAGTCAGTAGATTTCTATTTTTTTGGTCTAAGTTTCACTTGGGGCAGAACGGGGAGAGGAAGCTCAGAGCTGCACTCCCTGTGCTTCACACACACCCTGTCCCCTTCAGCATGTCACCAGAGCGTGCAGGGGTGGGTGCCAGCAGCAGGAACAGCTCTGCCAGGGATGGGGCATGGAGCAAATGCCGTATTTGATCCCAGGGACAGCTCAGGGAGCTCTCACCAACCACAGCCCACGCTGGCTCCACCTCCAGCAGCGAGCAGAGCGTTTGGCAGGGCACACTGGGGCAGGTTTGCTTTCCAGAACTATCCCTCCAGTGGAGCAGCTCCGTATCTCCCCTTTCCATCAGCACCAGGTGATACAATTCCATTTTTGCACCAGCTGGGTGTATTTGGCTCGAAGGGAAACCTCATCCCTCCTCAGTAGCTGTTAGTGGCACAGTCTGTTACCTTGGATCCCTCTCTCCCCCCTCCCCGAGCTCCTGCTGAGTCCGTCCTTGGTGTGGAGTCGAGCCCCAAGGCAGGTCCCTGTCCCACCTCACACGCTGCTGTCCTCCAGCAGGGGCTCCTTGCCATCTGACCCCCCAGCTGGTGGGCTGTGGGGGTGGGCCTGGGCCCCTGTGCTGTGCTTCTTGTGGCTGCCCGACCTCAGTGCCAGGTTGTGTTCCGGGATGAACAGGGCCACCAGCAGCGACAGCAGCACGGAGCACGCCCCAAACAGGAAGGGTGGCCCAGGGATGATGCTGCTCTGGAGAGACAGAGAGAGACAGGAATGATTCAAGCATGAGGGCAAACATAGCCCAGCAAAAAGTGAGAAAGCTCAGCAGGTACCTCATCTGTAGGGTTGGCCATGTTGGGTTTGGAGGCCTTGCCCAAAGTTTCCACCTCAGCCATTTCATTCAACTCCACGTGGAAGAGATAGAAGACAAAACCATAGAGTGCTGGCCCCAGGCCATTACACAGACCCCGAATTCCAGTGATCATCCCCTGCACCACACCTAAGGACAGAGGGAAGAAGGGGGGAAATGCCTTCAGCTTTCCAAAGAAACTTGTTTTATTCGAGGATACATATTTAGAGATATTTAGAGACAGGATCTGGGCTGATGTGCAGGGGGAGGGGTTTGCTGATGAGCAGCTTCACTCAGTGCCAGGTTCTAGAAAAATCAGTAATGCTGGGCTTGCTGCTTTGCAGACTGAAATAAGCATGGGCACATCAAGCAATAATTTCTAATTAACTAGAATTAAATTGAGGGCTCAGAGATGTACAGTGAGGCAGGCAAAATGCAGCAGCCTCAGAGGGACAACACCAAACACCCACTAGCATGACTTGGGAGTTGCCCAGTACAGCACCAGCCGTGGTCAAAGATAAGAGTGGCAATACTGCTGTGAGTAGTGACACTCCACAGCTGACACAGATGTTCCTGCACACCCCTCCACCACCACAGCCTTGTGCCAGCTCAGCACCTGCTGGGACGAACCCCCCCATCAGATGGGTCCCCAAGCACTCACCCTGCTGGTCAGGGTCCGTGCTCCTCGACACCATGGCACTGATGGCTGGGAAGGTGATGCTGGACATGGCAGCCACAGCTCCTGCTGCCCACATCATCCTGGGGAGGAAGGAGGCAGCTGTGAGGAGCAGCCCTGTGCCCTCACCCTGTGCTGCAGGGTGGGAGCGGCCACAGAGGGACAGAAATGTGGAAGAACCCTCACCAAGGCTGTGATCCAAAGCCATACCAGGCAAGCTGCAGGATCTGGAAGCCTAGTCCCAGGAGGATGGTGTTTTTATTTCCTATGGAGCGCATGAGAATTCCCAACACGACTGTCTGGAAAGGAAAACGGGGAAAACAGGTGTTTTCATCAAGGCAGGGGCAAAGAAAGAGGGAAACAACAGCAGACAAGAGGACAGAAAGCTGAGGGACTTCTATGGGTCCCTCCCAATTTAAGATCTTCTCTGTTTCAAAAGTCTCTGTGGCCACAGGAGTTCTGACAACTCAGCGGCCCCAAAATCAGAAATTTTGGACATTCTTACAGCAGACTGCTCAAGCCAACACAGAAATTGCTTCTCACCTGAGCCAGTATAGAGAGAATTCCAACCACACCGATAAAGGCTGCTACAGTCTCTGAGGAAAAACCAATGACCTGTGAAAACATCAGAGAGGGACTTTGCAGGCAGATTTGTACCAGGTGACAAGAGCATCAATGTCACTCATGTTTACCAAACTTGCTTCTCAGGGACCTGCACATTAACAGCCACTGCCCTTGGGCTGCCACAGGAATAAAACAAAATATTTTCCTCTGGCTGAAGAAATGGTTTTAAATCCCTGAGCTGCCCTTGTAGTGCCCGAAGGTGGCACAGGCAGGATGGCCAGGCAGACACCAGCAAGGAGCCAAGCCAGGCCTTGCCCCTGGCAATGCTTAGAGCAGTCAGCAAGCTCACACACTTTTCAGGAGAGCTGGAACAAATCACTGTTTCTTACAATTTCAGCTTTACTGATTTATTGGCCAAGAAAAGCCACCTTGGGACAGGTGACACAACTCTGACTGAATTTACAGGGTGGGATTTCCTGCACACAGAGCTTTGACAGAGACTGACCTGTCGTAGGTACAGGAAGAAGCTGGAGTACTGGCCAGCCTCGGGCAGGTAGGAGAGAAAGACAGTGATGCAGATGAGCAGCACTGTGGAGTCCTGACCCACCTTCCTCAAGGACTGCAGGGAATGAGAAAAAAATGTTTTAAAAATTGACTTTATATCACTGAAAAATCTCCAGGTACAAAACCAGCCAAACCAAAAGCGTAACACCTTAAAAGTCAGCAGGACTAAAGCAAACATAAAGCATTACCAGCAGACAGGCAAACAGCAGTGTTGGATTTTCTACAAGTTTTCTACAAATTTTTGACAAATCCGTTTCTCACACAGCAGCAGGCTCACTCACAGCAAACGGGTCAGCTTGTTCCCAGGAGATTGGGGCTCCCCAGGAGACCGGGCGCATCTCTTCAGGCAGGGACTCGGGCACAGCCAGCAGGATGAAGCCAATATCCAGCAAAGCCACCCCTGAAGCCAGCACAACCACCAGGGTGTCACCGTAGGCTTGGGAAAGGTAGGCGCCGATGGCCGGGCTGGTGACCAGGCTGGCAGCAAACGTGGCTGACACCTGGAAGCACAAAACATCCCTACAGCCTCTTCTTTAGAGCCCATTTCCCCCTCCCCAGTGAGCCAGGGGAACTCCTGGATACTCCTGGAACTCATCTTTGATGGAGAGGTAACTAAGAATTCGCAGGGATTCTCTTGGTGCACCTGGGCTCAGTTGTAGCAAAGGGGAATCAAAGCTGTCCTAGCAATTCCTGTGTGGTTCTGTCAGTAAAGCTACAGGAAGGGCAGGATCACACCAAGCATCACAGGTTCCCCTCCCCTGGTGTGGAAAAGGGAAGGACCAGGCTGGTTTCCACAACTCAGAGAGGGCAGAGATCAGCCTCCCCCTCAGAGCTAAATCCCAAACAGGACAGGGAGACTGCATGATCAGTCAGTAGATCTCCCATCCTAATTTTGTATCTCTCCTACCTGCAAAGCCCCAGATATTTCTTTCAAAGCCAGGCCAGTGACTCAGCTCCTTACCAGGCCGTACGCCGTGCTGCGCTCATGCTCCTGTGTGATATCAGCAACATAGGCAAAAATCACAGAAAAGGTAACAGCAAACACTCCAGACATGGAAATGACAGCAAAGTACCACCTGCAAGAGCCCAAGGCACAGTTAGATAGCAACCACACCACGGTCCACAGCTGATGAAGCAGAGCCTCTCCCTTGTTTTCCCCCCAGTCCATCCTGTTTCCAGTGCACCAGAACAAGAAGATAGAGTCTTGGTCTGGAGACCCCTGAAGTTTTATCACTTATTTTCCCTAATAGAAACAATGCACTGAGCTGGGGAACAAGCACAGAGGACAGACCAGTCCTTTATTCCCAGCTGAACCCTCCAAATCCAGACAAGTCAGTCTCTAGGCTGAGCATCCTCGTCCTTGAGATGGATGAGACTCTTCCATCTCATCCTGAAAGGAGCACCTGCAAACCCCCCTCCTTCAGCCTCCTGCTGCTGCCCCTCCTCAGAACCCTGGGGCTCTGCTGAGGGTGAACTCACCATGGGCTGATCTTCATCAGAGGAATTGGTGCACACGTGAAGAAGACGGTGAGAAGGAGGAAAGATTTCCTGCCCCAGACATCAGAGAGAGCACCAATCAACGGGGCACTTAGGAAAGAGAGCAGACCCTGGCATGGACAGACAGACCAGAGGACAGAGAAACCCCTCAATGAGAGCTTTCAACAACAACAGGAGGAGACAACCCATTCCTGACTGCTACAAGCAGCAATGCTGTTACAACAGAGCAGTTTATTCAACTCCCCACATCCTTTTAGGGAGGGAAAACCAAATCCTCAACCAGCAAGGCCCCACTGAGCACTCCTGCTCCCTGCAGAGCTCTGCTCTGGGCACCCAGGCAGCCCTGCCAGGGCCTGGAGAGCTGCTGGCACAGCTCCAGGGAAAAGCTTTCTCCTGTAGATGGAGACAGGACAGACACAATGAGAAGCCAGGGCCATTAAGCACAAATAAAATTATTCAAGGCCTTTCCATGTCTCCCAAGCCCAAGGCAGGCAGGGCAGAGCCTTTCAGTGCTGGGGCTGTTTTCCAAGATCCTCTTGCCAGAGACAGCCCAGAACTATCTGTGTTGCCTAATTCCCCAGTCAGAACACAGGACTATTGCCTGTTCACAACTGTTGCCTGCAATTCTGCTCTGGGAATGCTGGCCTAGTGGCAAGAAGCTCCCCAATCCCACAGCACATTCACACCTCCTGCCTGGAGATCACTGAGGCCACTTGGTTTCAATCTCTATCACTAATAAGTTTAGATGTCACTGATTTGTCATTCTGTTGTGCTCCAAAGGATGGGCACAGGGCTGATCTCATGCTGGTGAGATGATTTCCAGCTGAACCACACAGCTGCTCTAACTCCTGCTCAATAAAATCAGCTGTCTGTGTCCTTCCTTTTGCATCAGGTTTGCCAGAGCCCCCTCAAAGTGGCCAAATATTGGCTGACACCAGCAAACTAAATAAATAATAATAATGGCTTATCCTTCTTGCACCCATAGCAGATTTAAAGGAAATCCCGGAAGGAATATTCCTTACCTTGACTCCATGAATCAGACCATTCATCAGGAACGTGTGCTGAGGAAAAGTCTGGTGTAAGACCTGGAGGGAAGACAAACCAAAACTAAATGGAAGAGTCAGAGCTAGCAACTTCTGCAAAATTTCTGTAAGCATCTGCCAGCCAGAGGACTGGAAGGGCAAAATCCAGGGAAAAGGGGAAATACCCTGCCAACAATGCCTCCATGTGAAGAGCTCTGCCTGCCTTTTCCAGTATGGAAAACCACTACCATTAACACTTTCCAGGTCTATAAATCACTCCAGCATGCTCAGAGAGCCTTTCCCCATCACCTGAACCCCCTCTGGCTTTTTTATGCCAGCACATCACTTCTCTGCTGGTCCCTTTGTGCTGTCTGTATGCTTAATTTGCATTTTATATTACCAGACTAATATGCCTAAATGCTTTTGGTTTGGTTTTTTTTGCATAACCAAACCCTCCTTTTCCACAGCTCCCCGACGAAAGGTCGTGCTAAGACCTTAATGGGGACACGCTCACCGTCAGCATCGGCGTGGTCAGCAGCCCCCAGGCAAAGAACTCCAGGAAAATCACCACCACGGCGTGGTACACGCTGGGCTCCCCGATGCCCTGGCGCTGCAAAACACAGCAAAGCCAAAAACCTTTGAGCAGCCTCGTCCCGCAGCGCAGAGAGCTCACACGGCTCCGCGCGTCCCGAACACGCGTGAACGCAGCGAGAGACGCTGTTCTGAAACCTTCCTTCTGCAGACAGCCTAGGGAGCGCAAACCCAGCCCCAGCGGTCCGTGAGCGACTCCCTGCCCCGGTTTTGCTGCCCAGGAACGGGAGCGCACCGGGAAAGCGGCGCGAAGCCGGCAGGCGCAGCGCATCCACGGAATGCTCCAGCATCCGCCGGGACCAGCGCGTCCCGGGGCGGCGGCAGCGGCGCCCACAGGAGTGCGGCCCAGCGGGACAGCCCGCACCGGACACCGGGCACCGGACACCGGCACCGCCCGCGCTCCCGTCGGTGCCGGTCCCCGCCATGCCCCCGGCAGCCCCCGGCCCCGCGCTCACGCCGGCCCCGTCCCGGATCACGATCTTCTTGGCCAGCAGGACGCTGCGGTTGAGCCGCTTCTTCTTCTTCTTCTCGCCGGTCATGGCGCCGCCGGGCCGCTGCCGATCACCGGCCGCCGCGGCTGCCCCATCCTCCCCGTGGCGGGCCGGGCCGAACCGGACCGGGCCGCGCAGAGGCCGAGGCCGGGCCCGGCTCCGGAGCCCGACCGGCACCGGGCGGGGAGCGCCGGGCCCGGCGCTGAGGGGGAGCGCGGCGGAGGGGCGGCCCCGCCCCGCCCCGGCACCCGGCACTTCCGGCGCGCCGCTCCTCGCGCCTCATTGGCTGCTCCGCCGCTTCCGCATCGGCCGCGCTGGCCTGTGATTGGCTGGGAGGGACAAGGGGGAGGGCATTTCTCGCCGGGTGGGGCGGGGCCGTGACGTCACGGAGCGGCGGCGGCACCGGGAACGGGCGGCGGCACCGGCAGCGACCCGGGCCCCGGGGCGCCTCTGGGAGCGGCTGCTGCTCCGCCACGGGCACCGCCCCCGGCTGCGGCGGGCGGCTCGAACAAGGACATGCGGCCGCTCCGGGGTGCCGGCACCGGCGGCTCCGGAAGGGCCGCGTCTGCCCCGTGGCGGCTCTCTCGGTACCGAGCTGCTGGTTCTGTCCTCAGCACCCGCATCCCGGGGTGGTGACAGCCTAAGCGCCTCCCCAGCGCGATCCCATCCCGCCCCTTCCCCCGAGCCCGGTGCCGCGGGTCGGGGGGCAGCTCCGTCCCCGGTGCCGCCAGGGCTTGGGGCACGTCCCAATTAATCCTGCACGGGCTGGAGGGCGCGTGGTGCTGATTACCTCGGTGCGGGCTCCGAGGAGATTAATTGGGCTCATTTAGACACGTTTTGTGCCCGCCCGCTCGAGGTGGCCGCCCCGGGCAGCGGGCGGTGGCCACACACGGGAGGCGACCTGCGATGCCCGGAGGGGTCTCACCGTGGGCCAGCGAGAGGTTTTCAGGGCTGCTCGAGGCTCCGATCCAGCCTTTGTGCACGGAGGTTTTCCTTTAAGTAACCAGTAAACCCCAAAGAAAGTCGCCTCAGGTAACTCCACCTGAAAGCTGAAAGTAATCCCCCGATTTGGCGGAACTGGTGTGGGAGCGGAGAGCAGCTCCATGTCCCCGGGGCTGCTGCTCCGTGCCCGGCTGGGCTGTCCCCGGGAGCGCTCGGCACGTTGCCCACCATGGGGCAAACCGCCCGTAACCTCCGCAGGAACGCGGTGCCCTCCCTCGGCTGAGCCCCAGCCCCCGGGACCGTGCTCCCCCAGGCCGGGCAGGGACCTGAGCCCCCCTTGGACCCTCCTGGAGCCGCTTACAGGAGCACGGAGAAACCTGATTTGTTCCAGTGCTCTGCAGCGGCTTAAAAACAAAACCGAGGAGAGAGATCAGAGAGTTCCCAACATGGCAACAGCAGATGTAATTCTATTACCTTGATTTATTGATCGCACTTTAGAGCAATTACTGGCTCTCACCCCGTCACCTGCCAGGGAGCAGGAGACAGCGAGGAAGAGACAAAGGCGGCTGTGTGATCCAGGGCACGGCCCGTCCCCGGGGAGGCTCCGGTGCTGTTTGTGCCGCTTGCCGCGAGGGCTGGGGGGCTGCTGGACCGAAGAGAGGCCCAGGGAAGCTCCTCGGGAGGCTGAAAACAAGCGCTGAAAGGAGCCTGTGGTGCTGCGGGGATGGAACCCCAATGTTAAGACCACTTTGGGGATGGAGGGGATGCTGGTGAAAGGTGAGGGTCCAGCACAGCAGAGTTGCTGTGTGTGCAGCACTCCAGCCTGGAGTTCTCTGACCCGCTCGAAAAACAGCCCCGGGGCAGGAGCAAGGGCGAATCGCTCGATTGAGGTCAGACAGTCCCTTTAAGGTTTTTGTAGGATTTTTCCCCCCCCTGCTTGCTGCAGTTACAAGCAGAAAAAACAAGAAAATGTTTGTGCTATTTACTGCCTGAGCCCTCCAGACAGATACAAACAAAGCGGGAGTCAGATCTGGCTTTGGAGGCAGATGAAATCACAGCGAGAGGGACCAGCGGGCTGGGAGGCACAGAAGTAGGGCAGCCCGCTTGTGCATCGAAG